GAACCCCGGGCCGCCGCAGCGGAGCGCGCGCACCTAACCGCTTGCGCCACCGGGCCGGCCCCTCCTTTGCCCATTTTTAAGTTGGGTTTTTTTTTTTATTGTTGAATTGTAGGAGTTCTTTATATATTCTGGATATTAATACTTTTTTTTTTATCAGATATGTGATTTTCAAATATTTTCTCCCATTCAGTGGGTCACCTTTTCATTCTGTTGATTGTGTCCTTTGAGGCAGAGAAGTTTTCAATTTTGATGAAGTCCATTTATCTGTTTTTTCTTTCATTGCCTGTGTTTGGGTGTCATATCCAAGAAATCATTGCCAAATCCAATGTCATGTAGTTTTTCCTCTATATTTTCTTCTAAGAGTTTTATAGTTTTAGCTCTAAGATTTAGGTCTTTGATCTATTTTTAAGTTAATTTTTGTATATAATGCAAGGTAAGGGTCTGACTTCATTGTTTTGAATGAAGTTTTCCAAACACCATTTGCTGAAAAGATTGATTATGTCCTTGATGATTTCTTCTCTTATGTATTTTGTTGTTCTCTCTTCTAGACCTCCAACTATTTGGGTGTTGGACCTCCTTCTGGAGTCAAATTTTCTATATTTTTTGTCTTTTGCTCTCCTTTTAAGATGTTTCCAACTTTATCTTCCAACACCTCCACTGAGTTTTAAATTCTGTTTTCATAAATATATATATATATATATATATTTAATTTCCAAAAGCTCTTTCTTTTTTATGTGTTATTCCTTTTTCATAGCATCCAGTTCTTGTTTCATGGGTACAATATGCTCTCTTATCTTTCTAAGGAGGGATAGCTTTTTTATTTTTTTAAAGTTTTCATCGCCCTACATGGTCTCTGTTTCCTCCAAGTTCTTTTTTTTTCCTCCCTGTTTTGTCTTTGTCTTTGATGTCAAAGGCCTCCCTCAGACACTTTGGTTGTTTATTTATATTCAAGAGTGGAAAACTAAAGAGCCAATTGATAGTTCTATTTGATGAGTAATGCTCACTGACTGTGAGCTTTAGTCCCGGCAATCCGGCAAAGATATTTCAAAGAGAAAACTCCTGCTATTAGCATATTTAATTCTTTTTCTTTCTGGATAAACAGATTCTGCAGAGAAGAACTTTTCATTCTCCTACCTGGAGGATATAAACCTGGATGACAATGTTCTGGGGGACAGGTGGGGGAAGTTTGCTGGAAGATGGTGTCTCAACATTTGGTATATAATCTTAACCTGTTTTCACTGAGCCTCTCACCCTCAACAGTGCCTGCAGTTCACCAATCTAGCAAACCTCTATTACATTCTCTTCAAGGAATAAATCTACAATCTCTCTAAGTTGGAGAGGAACAACTGCTTTCTAGTACAACTAGATATTTGGAAACAGACTTTCAACAGAACTTTGTGTTTTTAACTCTTCCTTCACTCTCATTTTAAAAAATCATTTTGTCACAAACTGCAGAACATGCTAGAAATTCAGTGATGCAAATCAAGTTGCTTCTTTGCTTTTCTTCTTAGAATCCAAACTTCTCAGGTATGCTTAATTAGTTCTGCTTGCTGGCTTCCAGAATTTTATTGCTATTGATTCCGCTCTCATTCTTTTTTCCTTTTATTTTATTTCTTAAAAAATCCCTTTACTAATAATTTAGTGTAGTTTTAGAGGGAACAATGGTAAAAGTGTGTTCAACCTGCCATATTTTCCTAGAGATGTGTATTTTAATTTTTAATGGCAAATGAGAGGTTTAAATTCTTATGTATCAAATCATTGAACTTTTTCTTTGCCAACTTTCCAATTGCAATTTATTTTTAAATAGATATTCCTCATTTGAAATTTCAAAATCATTTATATTCCTTTTAGTTTGTTTTTAACAATTTAAGTGTTTACATTTAACTCAAATATCTGATATTATTTTAGGAAATAATTTGAGCTAAATATCTAAGCTGAGTTTTCCCCAAATATAAAGCTATTTTTCTCAACAATATTTGTCCCATACTCATTGATTTGTGATGGTTCCATTACAGTATATTAAGTTCTAATATATACTAGTCTGATTTGACTAACAATTCAGTGTATCTATTCTTCTTTCACATGGTATTAATTATTGTAGTTTTCTAATTCCCTCCTCGGCCCCCAAATTTTTGTAATACTTATCTATTTACTTTTCAAGACTTAAAGATGAATTTTCAATAGCTTTGCCAAGTCTCTCCTCAAAAATCCCATTAGAATTTTGATTAGAATTTGTAGAAATCATAAGTACTACTCACTAAATATTTCTGTTTTTCCCTTTTCTTGATGTTGCAAGTGGCCAAGAATCTTGCTTTCCATGGTATGTGAGTGGAAGTCACATGTATGCCACTTCCTTCCCTTACCACTGCTCTAGTGATTGTGGAAGCATATGTCAAGATATAGCCTCCATTTGCCTGGGTACCTGAGTGATGACAATGAGCAGAGCCTCCCTGTTGATCTGCACTGGACATATAGTGGAAGAATAAATACTTAAGAATGTTTTTTGTTAAGCTACTAAGATTTTGGGGTTGTTTGGTCACATAGCATCATGTAGCCAAATCCATAAATACAGAATTATGTTAATGATATTACCTAATTTGGGAGATCTAGGATGATCTATGGCATATCTGTTATAGGATTCATTACTGTCAAGAAAAGGAGGACAGGAGTTAATTGCTGTAATATTAAATTGATTCCAGTTGACTCTCTTGGCCAGTCCCATATCAATACCCTTAGTTTACTTTATGCTCTTTCATCCCATTAGGCTTGAAGGTCTCTGCTGCACATACGGTTCCCAAGAGTGGGGTGATAGGGCTATGCATCCTTAGATCCTGTATTGGTCCTCGTCTTTGCATAGATTTCATGAGGAAAACTTCCTTTGAGAGGGTTTAGCTTTTCTGTGTTTCCTCCTGATGTGTTACCTCTTCCTCACCATCACCATTTGAGATTTGTGCCACTAGAAAGAGGTTCCTGCAAAGATGCTGCTGAGAAAGACCCTTAGCTTACTCTCTACCTAAGGTCTTAGCTCCCTGTGGTTCCCTTTCAAATCACTATGAGTGAAGAAAGGATCAATTCAGACATTCAAAGGCTGAGCCTACCTGTGCATGGAAAAGGCGCAGAAAAGAGTAAAAGGTAAAAGCATAATTAAAAAAAAATTTTTTTTAATTTAAACAATTTTCCCACCCAGACCCTTGGGGATCTACTGAGGCAGAGGTGCATGTGTTCTTTGTATGTGAGAAAGAATGAAACGGATATCTGCCTGTCCTTCTGGTGACCAATGCTATGTTTCATAATATACCATTCCATTTTTCTTCAGGATATACAGCTCGGGTGCATTTCTCAGCCTCTTCTGCAGTCAAGGTGGACCATGGAATGAGGGTGGAAGTGACACATGACACTTCCAAGTCTCACTTCCAAACCTCCAGACTTCCAGGTCTCACCTCCAAACTCAGTGCTCATCTAGTCAGATCCAGTGGAGGACTCCATGCTGCTACAAAAGGGTGGAGCCCCTTCATGGAAGGAGCCTGGGTCTTCTTGCTGACCCACTGGACTGTGACTCTGAGTGATAAATAAACTGCTATGGTATGATGCTGATCTTTGAAGTTATTTGTTATAACAGTTAGCCTATCCTGACATAAAGAGAATAGTCCCAACCTATTTTATATAGTAAATCCTCTGTGGGGTAAAGTGGAGGGAAGCATAGTTTGTGTTTATGCAGTATAACTTAGTCTATAATATCTAACTGGGTGAATATGAAAAGTCATTTAATCATGTTTTATCTAAAAAAAATTGAATTGGCTGAATTGATAGGCTATGTTAGTATTATGTTATAGGTAAAACCTGAGAAATATGAAGTAATTTTATTATAGTCTATGACAATATATTGGGTGTTTCTCTCTTGCAGTTACAATCTAAGATTCATACCTCGTGTTTAATCATATGATCATATTGTTGTTTGAGACTTTCACAATGAATTAAAAATTAAGAAAGTAAATATTCTGTATTAAGTAACTTGTACTCACTTGTATTAAGAAGTAGCAATACTTTCATACAGAGGAACTCTTCTTGGCTAACTTGAAGCTTCACAAACTCCTGTGGGATCTGCCACATGGTAAGGCATAATGAATAGAATGATGATTCCTTCATCCGCTGTCTTGCACCACACATAACACACAAAAGAAAAAGCAAGGGAAAAAAAAACCACATACAGTGTCTTAGCCAGTTTATGTAATTTATCAGAGAATATGAATTTAGTAATAACCTTATTATTATTGAAAATGGCTCAATATTTGGAATTTTAAACATCTAAATTTATTTACATAACTGAATTTTTGAGGTTAAGAAATTTTAAAGTTAGAAAATCACATTAAATACACATTGAGCAAGATTAATGTTGTTTCTCACTTTTATCATCACATTTTAAAAACCTAAACCAAGAAAGGAGAGCAAAGTTGTAGGAGTTGAGAATGTGGAGCTGAGGGAACGCTCAGGAAATACTTTATTTACTGATGATTTTTTTTCTGTAAAAAAAATTAAAAATTTTGTGTGCAATCCAGTGGGAGAATGGATTCAGTACACAGCAACTGAATAGTGGAGAATAGTTCAGTGTATTCAGTGTAAAATACTTACACTGTGAACTATTCTGGGGAAATGTATGGTGATATAGAAAAGAGAACATTAGCAAGCATTAAATAACTGACAAGGTCAAATACAAATTCTGCAGGTTGAGGAAATTTATTTCAAGTATTTTCCCAACCATGTACTATTTTGTAATATCCTCATTAGTCAAATGAAGCTAACAGCAATAGTGCAAAGAAAACTAGATTTTGACTCAGAAGAGCTGAGGTTGATCCTGACTGTCACTCAGATGCTGTAGCAGTCTATTGCAGTTCTTCTGTGCCTCAGTTTCCTGAGCTGTAAACGAAGGACGCTGATTCCTTATCAATTTCAAGGGATTGTGGGATAAAATGGAATAAAAATATATAAAAGTTATCTGTAATCTGTAAAGATTTATACAAGTGTAAATTACTATGTTATATAATTGTAAGTCAGCACTCACCCTTAGAACAGTATAAATATTTCCATGAAAAGACTGTTATTCAGTTTAAGGTTATATGTAGAAAATTAATTATAGTTATTTAAATATAATCAAGCAAATTGAAATAATTATCTTTCAACTTTTAAAATAAATTACCAGTCTGAGTTTTCTTCTGAGAGATCATGTTTTTACTTTTTGAAGGTAAGTCAATACTTTCAAGCAAAAATATTTCTCATTTCCTTCATTATCTTCATTTAAATATTTCTCATTTACTTCATTATCCTCATTTAAATGTTTCTCATTTACTTCATTATCCTCATTTAAATATTTCTCATTTACTTCATTATCCTCATTAGTACCAAGGTATGAAATTTTAATTTGATAAACTAAACATTTAATTTTGTCTTTATTTCTTGATACATTCTTGAAGTTTAAAAAAATTGGATTTGAGAAAACTCCTGTATATTGAAACAAAAGGTAAAAGCTCCAAATATCAAATTACTGATAAAATGATACAATTTTATTAATATTTTCATATCAAATTATATCCTGAGGTAATTCTGAGAAACTTTTCAGGAAAATTCTATTATTTAGGACACTAAATGTATGATCATCTATTGAAATGTAATTTTCAAGATCATCCTACATATACATTTTTGATAATAACAACAACAAAAGTCAAGTCACTACTTACTCATTTAGTATAAGATCAGGCGCAAAATATAGCATCTGTCCACTGACATGTTTATAGGATCTCCATCCTAGTCCAAATACCATTAAGCTCATCCAAGAATACTGGATGAGAGTTATCTGGTCATCAATATGTAAGTTTCGAAAACCTACAAAACAAATTTAAAAATAAAATGATCAAAAAATCACCGTGTCAAAAATGTTGAAAATAAATAGAAATTTGAAAGTAGATGTAAGTAGGATAATATATTTTCATTCTCAATATATTTACACTAAAAATCAAGAAATATTAATAAATAATAGGGCCTGCAAAATTAAGAAAGAGCAGCAGCTTTGGAAGTTATTAAAATGAGTCTGTCATTTAGCATTTCTGGAAATTCACTAATTGAATCAAACATCCATCACTCATTCTTACACAACACTCATTTATTGAGAGCCATTCGTGTGCCTGGCACTGTGTTAAAATGCTGGGGTTATGAAGATGAATAAGACACAACTCTTGCCCTTAAAACAGGCTTGCAACTCAACAGGAGAGACAAGCACACAAGTCCAGTGTTAGAAGGAGTACACCAGGCAATTGGGAGATCAGGAAAAACACCCTAAAAGAAAGAGATAACAGGGGCTGGCCTGGTGGTGCAAGCGGTTAAGTGCGCACGCTCCGCTGCGGTGGCCCGGGGTTTGCTGGTTTGGATCCCGGGTGCGCACCGAAGCACCGCTCGGCAAGCCATGCTGTGGCGGTGTCCCATATAAAGTGGAGGAAGATGGGCACGGATGTTAGCCTAGGGCCAGTCTTCCTCAGCAAAAAAAGAGGAGGATTGGCAGATGTGAGCACAGGGCTGATCTCACCAAAAAAAAAAAGAAAGAGTTAATGCCCGAGCAGAATATAATCAGTTTGTTGGGGAATCTCAATTCTTTGGGATTTAAACATAAACTGATTTTATTTTGTAAAATCACTGCTTTCAATTGTGCTATATCTAATTTTTCTTTAACATCCCTAAATTATGTCTTGGGTAGATGCCATAGTTTTCTGGTCACTTTTGTTTTTTGAAACTTAATCCAGTCTCATTTTCTACTTCCATGTGGCTTAAGAGGTTTAGAGTCTCTGTGTGTGTGTGTGTGTGTGTGTGTGTGTGAGTGTGTGAATGCTCTGGTCTTTCACATCTTCACAACCTCCTTCTTTTAGGCCTTTCTCTGGTGTTGGTGGGAGAAGGAGGATGGCAGGGAAAGGGCAAATGTATCTTGACTTAAATGGTCAAAGTCTTCTCTCCATCTCTTTCCAATTCTTTTTCTGCCTGCTTAGGAGAAGAATACCAGCTCAACACTGATAAACTTAAAGGAGGGAGAGGCAAAGAGGTAAGTTTGGAGATGTAGGCTGGAGTCAGATCATCGATAGTCTTGTATGTCTACTAAGGAGCAATGGGAGTGACTGCCTTATTTATGTTATGTGTGGATCCTTGGTAGCCATGTGGAGGATGGATTCAAGGGAATAAGTCTTTAGTTAGGGACAGAAGTTGTGAGCTATTGCCAAAGGCCAGGTGAGAGATGATAAAAGCCTGAAATAAATCAAAAGTAGGAGTAGAGAGGACAGAGTGTATCAAAGAAATATTTAGAGTAAAATCAAAGAAATCTGGTAACTGATTGTATGCAGGTAGGACAAAGAAGGAGTCAAATAGATCTTTCAGTATTTTTACTTGAATGGTGGGTGATGACAACAGCATTACTGAGATAAAAATAAAGGAGAAGAAATAGGCTACAGAGAAAAAAGTAAGTGTTGGCCATGTTTGAGGAACCTCTGGAGTATCCAGATAGTAACTGGACGTATGAATTATAAGTATGAAGAGATATCCAAGCTAGAAATACAAATTTCGAAATTATTTGTATCTGAGTGTAGCTGAAACAGTGAAAGTGGATGAAATCTTTTATTAAAGGCATAGAGAAAAACAAGTGTTTTGGTGGGAACATCAACCACTTTCCATAAAGCTATTTTAATAATATCTATCCCCCACTAAGAATCCATTGAAGTCCACTCACAAATGACCTATTTCAAAAGTAAAACCAAGCAAAACTTAATTCCTTAGATCTTAAGGGTGAAATAAATTTATTTCCTGACTCTGTTAATCATCTCAAGGTAGGTAGCAGAAAAGCAGGTTATTTTTTTCTCATAGACTCCAGACAGTCCCAGCTTCACGTGAATAATAGGAAGACTGCTATTCTCTTCTTAGAAATTCTTAGCCTCACAGGGACCAAAAACAGCTGTAGTGCATATTCATAGTTAGAATGCCATAGCAGACATTTGCCTTTTGTGTGTGTATGGGGGGGTGG